CAGTATGAATTACAACTCAATGTAAAGAAGATCAAAGTCCTCACAATGGGACCAATAGGTGACATCATGAAAAATGGAGAAAAGATTGAAGTCGGATTTTGTCTTATTTGGTTCCACAATCAATGCTCATGGAAGCAGCAGTCAAGAGATCCGATGGCACATTACATGGGTAAATCTGCTGCGTAGGATCTCTTTAAAGTATTGAAAAGCAAGGAGGTTACTTTGAAGACTCAGGTATGTCTTATCCAAGCATGGTATTTTCCATGCCCTCATATGCATGTGAAATTTGGATATCGAATGAGAAAGACAGAAGGAGAATCAGTGCATTTGAAATAGGGTTCTGGTGAAGAATACTGAAAGTACCATGGACTGCCGTAAGAATAAACAAATCTGTCTTGGAGGAAGTGCATCAGAAGACTCCTTAGAGGCAAGGGTGGTGAGACTAATCTCACCTACTTTGGACATGTTGTTAGGAGAGACCGGTCCCTGGAGAAGGCCATCTTGATTGGAAAAGAAGAGGGGCAGCAAATAAGAGGAAGGTCCTTATGGAGATGGATTGACATGGGACTATGGCAATAGGTTCAAACATAAGAGCAATAATGAGGGAGCCACAGCACCTGGCTGTGCTTTATTCCGTTAATCATAGGGAGGCTATGAGTTAGACCCAATTGCATGACACCTGACAACTACCTGCTGGTCTGGATCCCAAGTCGATAATAAAACAGCGGATGAATAGTGTCTGACATCCATGATATTGGAGTGGTATAGCATGCTGGAAAAATCAGATATTTGCTAAATGTTTCAATCCCACCTAACTGGGATCAGTCTTGGACTAATCCTTATAATATAATGTTTGTGAATTGATAACTTTTTTCCCAATAACAATAAAATGTAGGTGATGCCCCTTTCATATTCCTTTAAGGCCCACAGAGAGGTGGGGGAAGAAAAAAGACAGCAATGGGAGACCAGGACACTAATCCAGCCAAGGAGAAGAGGGTACGGCTTGTGCCTCCAGGGGGCAAGGAGACTCAGAGTAGACTTCATTGTGGTCTGCCAATCCTTGAGTCTTGTGATCCTGCTCAGAACAGTTCATTCCCAGAGATGACTACAGGGCTGGCCTCAGTTCCTCATGTGAAGTCCTCTCCCTAGGGGAGAGTGCTACAGAGGACATCCCTGAAGATACAGTTCTGGGAGAGTGGCTGGTCTGGCATGCACACAAGGGGGTCAACCAAGGGCCACCGGCCAATGATGAGAGCGATGCCACAAAGGCCGCAAGGAATCCCAGGTGCAGACTTCTGACTTTGGGGACAGCACGTGGCACCTTATCCAAACAGGTTGGGGGTTACCCACAAGGGGACTACAGTGAAAATCCAAAGGTTTAATGGGGTGTGTGTGTGTGGGCGCACTAGACAGCTCAAGGGGCCTGTAAGGTATGCGACTTACACAAATGCTGAGGACTAAAAGGGAATAAGTGCTGTTAGGTAGGCAGGGTTACAGGATATGGCTATCTGAAAGAAAGGGGGATTGGGCTGAGGGATTATACCAGGGCCTGCTCGCTATTTAACAGAGAGATGTTCATCTACTCTGGGTCAGGTTACCTGTTAGACTGGAACTATTTATATGGTCTCTCTCTCTCTCTCTCTTGTTCTTTTTTGTTGTCTATCTATATAAGATAGGCAGAGTAAGCAACCCAATGGAGGCAGTGGCAGGACTGACGGTTGGGGGGAAGGGAACCTGAGTGGGGAGGAGGCAGGGAGGGGTGAGTGGGGAGCCAATAATGACCGGAAGAGCGTAATAGCCAGGGGTATAAAATTGATGGTGAGGAGGATGTAGTTTCCTGTTGCTTAATCAATCAAAAAGTGTCTTAGAGGAATCACTGAGAGGTGAAAGATGGGGAAGCATGACAGTGGGTTAGGGGGAAACAAAAAAGTAAATGAGGAAAGAAGAAGAAAGCAAATATATAGACAGATATAGAATATAAATATACAAAGATGTTAATATATAATTATATAAATATAGGTGTATTTGTCTATACATGTACATATAGGTAAATGCAATAAGGAAGCAGATGGACTCTGGGCATCTACTGAACTCTCACCTAAGTACAAGAATGGTTTGTTCTAATACTGTGCAATGTATGATATTCACCTTCCTGACACAATCACTGAAGACAAATGGGTGCATAAGCAAAGGTGGTGAAGAAAGCTGATGATATCAGCTATTAAAAATATAGTATTGGGGTCTTAAAGGCTTGTAGTCAAGCAAGTGGCCATCAAGCAGGGAAGCAACTAAGCCCACATGGAATAAGCACAGCAGCCTGTGTGATTATGAAGTGTCTAGGGGAAAATGTACCCAAAGTTTAAAAATAAGCAATCAAATTGATGTGAAGGAGCTTGGACTGAGTGGAGACCCAAAGCCCACCTGCAGGTCAATTAGGCAGGCCCTCACACAGTCTTGCACTGTCTGATGTCTCCCTTTACTCCCTTATCTGTTGTTCATGCCCCTGGGAGGGGTTATAGATAGGTCATTGTGATTGGTTCCCATTTCTCCCCCCACCTTCCCATTCCCCTCCTGATCGCTACTCTCAATATTGGTCGTGAGGAGTTTATCTGCCCTGTATTCCCTGTTTCCAGTTCTTCTCTGTACCCATGTACATGCTCCGGTCTAGCCAGATATGTAAGGTAGAATTAGGGTCATGATACTGGGGGTGGGGGTGGGGAAGCCTTAAAGAACCAGAGGAAAGGTGTGTTTCATTGGTGATATACTGCACTCTGATTGGCTCGTCTTTTCCTTGAGACCTTTTGTAAGGGGATGTCCAATTGCCTAAAGATTGGAATGCACTTAATAAAAAAGGGGAGATGAGGAATCCAAGGTGCGGTAGAGCACTGATGAAACATAAAACTATTGTCTAGTTTTTTTAACATTTCCTCCCTTACTATTAAGGTTTAGGTTTCATATCATTAATACTGTTAGACCTACACATGTTCATATGTATAATTAAGATCATTACATGCAGGAGTTCGAGGATGGATGACCCTTCTGGAACAGCAAGGGGAGTAATGATTCCTTGAAGATATGGGAAGACATAGGGGGGGAGGGGAGAGCTGATAGCATTGATGACTCTATAGCCCCACTTGAGGGGAGCAAATAACAGAATTGAATGTGAATGGATATATTGGGTGGGGTAAGATACAGCTAAATAAATATATAAACAAAATCTAATAGAATATATATATATAATAACAACAATAAGGGTTCCTGCGGGGAAAGAGGGGGAAGGAGGCGATAAAGGGAGCTGATGTCAAAGAGTTCAAGAAGATAGTAAATGTTTTGAAACTGATTGTTGTAGCAATTGTACAAGAACACGTGATCTATTTGAATTATGGAATGTTATGACATCGGTAAGAACTTCCAATAAAATGATGAACAAACTAATAAAAAGAATAGGAAAAGTGGGTGATGGATATGCTGGATATGTTCCTATTTTCTGGAAGAGAATTTTTAAAAGCTAGCCCATGGGCAAATGCTGGTATCTGCCATCCCAGCCTTTCTCACTCTGTGCAAAGCCAAATCAGAAGTTTGCTTGGTGGTATTGTAGAAGGATATTTCTTTTCATTTTTCAAACAGCTTTATTGACATTCAATTAATATATTATACAATCCACCTTTTTAAAATACACAATCCAATTGTTTTGCGTACACCATCCAATCAAACCCTAACCAATCACCAAGGGGTTGATTCCAATTCATAATGATCATACAGGACAAAATAGAATTTCCCAGAGGATTTCCAAGACTGTACATTCTTCTTTTTTTAATTGAGTCATAATTAAGATATCATGCAATTCAATAGTCCAGTCATATTATGATGGGCTGTGCCTTTCTTGACCCTCCTGAGTTTTGATGAAATATCCTAGTTCCAATTAAATATCTTCATTTTTATAGCTAGCGAACGAGTCTTCCAGATTTAGATATTCACTAGTATTGTCTTCAACGTAGTAACAAAGATTGCTGACATTTACCTCCCAGCGTTTCTTCTGCACCCTGCTTTCCATGTTCTGAACTGTAACTCCTTTGATATAGTGCTCACCCTAGCCACTGCCCATGAGTTGGGGGTCACAATGTTCATTATACCTTGTATCACTTTTGTAGAACTCACTCTCAAATTTTTTTGGAGAATTCTCTGAGCATGTTTAAGGAGCTTTGGTGACAGAGTAGGCTATGAATTGGGCTGCTAAGAGCAATGTAAGTCATTCAAACACACCCGAAAAATGAGGCTGCCAGATCTCAGAAAGGTTAAAGTCTCTGTGATTCACAATCAACTTAATCATAGTGGGTTTCCAGAAGAAGGGACCTATTTTAAACATCTACACGTATATTGTTGTGCCCAGGATTACACATAGAAAAAAATAATAATTTTAGGTAGTAATAAGCAAATGTATAAAATCAGATGTCTATATAGAGTTTCCCCCTCTTAAAAATGTATACCCTGTATACTCAAGTAAGCCAAGCTTTTCAGCACAATTTTATGCAGTTTTTGTGGTAAAATTAGGTGCCTCAGCTGATATTCAGATTGGCTTATACTCAAGTATGTATGGATATGATTTACAATAAAGAACAAACCCAGGCCAGAGGAGAGATTTTGTATGACTGGATATTAGTAATTATTAAGAAATATTTGTGTTATAATTGTATGGTGTATTTAGAATTCAGTTGTATTTAGAATTTAATTGTTATTAAATCAATTATTATTGATCATCCATATCTGTCCTAGAAGAACTGTGTCTCATAGAATTTGCAATGGTTGGTTTCTGGTGGGTTTTGTTTTTCAGAAATATATTGCCAGGCCTTTATACTGAGGTGCTTCTGAGTAGAGTCAAACCTCCAGCCTTTTGGTTAACAGCTGAATGTGTCAACGATTTGCATGAAAGTATTTAACAATAAAGTAGTAATAGGATATAATGAATGTCCTTTTAAAGGGGTTATTTTGAATTCTTTCAGATTGACCTTAACACTTTCCTGCCCAATGGTTCTCAAAAATTTCCCAATGGATGTACAAACATGCATCATGCAACTGGAAAGCTGTAAGTATGAACAGTCTAATTTTCTCTGAATGTTTTGAAAAGTTCACAGTTTCCACAAACTTTTAAAGGCTTATAAGAATCTTTAAAGTATATTTTGCAAAAAAATAAAAAATAAAGTATATTTTGCCTACATCTTACTAAATACACATATATTTCACCAGGTA